TGAGAATTCGAGACTGCAAAAAGACAGCTGGAGATACAGACCCAGCAAGGAGGCAACATCCATTGTTCGCTCCTCATTAGAGGGCGATCAGTGGGAGGTGTTGTATTTCAGATGTCCATTATTTCAAATCATCGTAGTGAGATTAATGTCAGTACAGTTCCTTCTTCAGACATCACGAGAGGACACAAGGGGTCTGCTATTGTTCTGTCCCCCTCCTCATGTTGACATGACTTGGCAGGAATGTTCTGTCGATTGTTGTCTAATTCCTGTAAACACTAGCGTTGTCATCTCCTCCATTAATTTGCTGATTTGCTGGGGACGTCCTGTTCCAAAGTATGACATCACTAGACACCCTGTCTGCTGGCAGGGCATGGAGTGATGTCATGTTGTCTCTGCAGGACATTGGAAGGAGTATGGCACAGGGTGGTCAAAATGGCCAACAGAACTATGTGACCGGCCAAGATGGGATAGCTAGCAACATGATTGGAATTCTTAACTGCTCCCAATTTGCTGGAGAAATTACCACGTGAAACAGGTAGGAGAAAAACAAAAGTATTGTCAAAGCGATACATCTTGCACATGATTAATACAAAATGAATGGGTTGCCTTAATGGAACTTGTATTGAGGTGCCTCAGCCTTTATTTCCTGTGATATCTTTTGACTCTCATAATAATTAAAGCAGAATTCCGTCCAGGAAGCCAAGAAGGATGAGAACCTATCTCAGATTGATTTTTATTGCTCTGCCCCCATTGGAGAGATTTTTCTACCTTTCTGTCCAAGGGTGATAACAAAAAAAAAGAAAATTGTCCCAAAAGTAAGTTGAAATTCTCACATTGGCATATCATTGACATAGGTGTTCCTGTTGGGATGTTCCCCAAACCTTCTGTTTTGGTGACCAATGTAAGATCCAACAGGACAAATCTTAAGAGGCCCCATGTTGGACCCACCACCCACCACTAGGCTTAAGTGTAGTCTTAATCATAGTCTCTGAGTGCTGCCGCATGACGAAACACATGACAAAATGCATTAGAGGAGACCTCATGAAGTTTGTTGTGGAATAATAACGGTTTACAAGAGTTGGATGTTACAAGACTGTTTTTCGAATTGTTGACAGTTCGGGAGTGAGGATGAGTCCCTGCTTGGCACCTGGTCAGCCAAGGAAGTGACCAGGTAACTCACTATATAGGACTTAAGAACAAAAGGAAATGTTTGCTTGGTTGATTACTGTAAAATGTTGGTTTACCCTCATTTACCATTTCAGTAGAACAGATAGAAGTATGGAGTCTTGGACAGGGTTGCCAATTGTCGTAAACACAGTTTATGGCTTACTTACAAACTGGCCATAAATGTCCGTTATGGGCTGAGGCTGAATGTAAAAATTATGTCCGTGGACTGGCCTTCAAACTGCGCATGTGCAGTTCCAAAGCCAGTTGAGCTTGGGCCGGCTCAGCTGGGCTTGGAGGGAGGAAGGGGCAAGCGCTTGATGACATCTCGGCTTGGTGCCTTGACTGAAGAGGCAGAGGAGGAGTGAGCGAGCCGCCTAGACCCAGAGGAGCCTCTGAGCTGCACCTGAGCCGCAGAGCAAACATTATGGAGGAGGTCAGTCACAGGTAATGATGATTGCCTCTGCTCTGCTCTTTTTGAATGGCCTGACATACTCATCCTGTGGTAAATACAGTATACAGAGTCAGCGACTCTTATGGGACAGAGCGCTCCAGTGATTGGGAAGAATAAAGAAATGTGTCCCCCTAAATACCCACATGTGAATGAAAAGATGTGCACACTGTTATCAGTAAAATATTAAATAGATTGTGAGTTTGGGTATGTTTTTAGACATTTTTTAAACACTCCATCTATATGGATGGAGCTTCACTGATTCATGCACTGCTTAGATGTTTGGAAAATAATTTCAAAGACCGGTCTCCTGTTCATCCACTGTGCACAGATAATAAATATTCTAAAGATGCCATGGGTGACACCTTCATGATGTCCTGTGCCCATACACCTTCATACTGTCCTGTGCCCATACACCTTCATACTGTCCTGTGCCCATATGCCTCCATGATGCCCTGTGCCCATACACCTTCATACTGTCCTGTGCCCATATGCCTCCATGATGCCCTGTGCCCATACACCTCTATACTGTCCTGTGCCCATACACCTTCATGATGTCCTGTGCCCATACACCTTCATACTGTCCTGTGCCCATACACCTTCATACTGTCCTGTGCCCATATGCCTCCTTGATGTCCTGTGCCCATACACCTTCATACTGTCCTGTGCCCATATGCCTCCATGATGTCCTGTGCCCATACACCTTCATACTGTCCTGTGCCCATATGCCTCCATGATGTCCTGTGCCCATACACCTTCATACTGTCTTGTGCCCATACACCTCTATACTGCCTTGTGCCCATACACCTTCATACTATCCTGTGCCCATACACCTCTATACTGTCTTGTGCCCATACACCTCTATACTGTCTTGTGCCCATACACCTCCAAACTGTCCTGTGCCCATACACCTCTATACTGTCTTGTGCCCATACACCTCTATACTGTCTTGTGCCCATACACCTCTATACTGTCTTGTGCCCATACACCTCTATACTGTCTTGTGCCCATACACCTCTATACTGTCTTGTGCCCATACACCTCCAAACTGTCCTGTGCCATACACCTCTATACTGTCCTGTGCCCATACACCTTCATACTGTCCTGTGCCCATACACCACCATGCTGTCCTGTGCCCATACACTTCCATTTTGTCCTGTGCCTATTTACCTCCATACTGTCCTGTGCCCATACACCACCATGCTGTCTTGTGCCCATACACCTCTATACTGTCCTGTGCCAATACACCACCATACTGTCCTGTGCCAGTACACCACCATACTGTCTTGTGCCCATACACCTTCATACTGTCTTGTGCCCATATGCCTCCATGATTTACTGTGCCCATACACCTTCATACTGTCCTGTGCCCATACGCCTCCATTCTGTCCTGTGCCCATACGCCTCCATTCTGTCCTGTGTCCATACACCTCCATACTGTCCTGCGCCTATTTACCTCCATAGTGTTCTGTGCCCATACACCTCTATACTGTCCTGTGACCATACATCTCCATACTGTCCAGTGCCCATTTACCTCCATACTGTCACCTACACATACACCTCCATAATGCCCTCTGCCCATACACTTCCATACCTCGGTTATATTAACCGTACCCACCTGACCTTCATGTAAATGGAGAAATATGTTTTTAGCCTTTTGTTTTACGCTAAACACATTGCTAATGGTGCTGTTAGTAAAAATGGTGCTGTCAGTAAATTTTGGGTGTCCTGTCAATAAATTTCACTTACCAGTTGGCAACACTGGTCCTGGACCACCCTGAGCCTTGATCAATGTATCATCTGGGGAATTTTCCTTAGGCAGCTCTTCAGAGAACAAGGGTAATAGAATGTCTAAAGTGCTGTATATTCCAGAAAATGGAATATATTGCAGATAACTAGTCCCCAGATGTGGTCATTGTAATATTTTTCTTTTTTATTAAGCTGGTTATACACTAGTAGAATATTGCCCAAATGTTCAAAAAAATTCTGAAAATCCCTTGTGTACCTAATATGATATACCCATCATTTTTTCAACAAATGTGGAAAAGTTTGATCACTGCTTAGAGTTTGAACAGTCTTACCAATCTTCCATTTTCTGTAGAGGAGGAGAGGGGGAGGTGCTCTTTAGTTTCTACAATCTTGCTGTCTTAGGGTGGAAACGCTGCTCCTCCATAGATACAGTACAGCGAGGAAGCATTGTTAACAAAATAAAACACAGATCATGCAAAATTAAAAAAATTTATAAAAGTCCAAAAACCCCAAATAAAGTCCAGTGCAAGTGCAAAAAGTGAAAAAAAGTGATAAACAAAAAATCATAAATTTTCCAGCGTGCTCACATCATCAGTGGTAATTAATTTCGCCCACACTCACCAAATAAAGTGGATTCCTAAGTTGATCCCTGGCGATATTCCTGAGTGTAGCTCAGGGTAAAGTTTCAGTACCACAAGCGGTAACCCAGAGCTACACTCGGGCTTACCATGCGGTCCTGCTCCGGGATCCCTCGATCACTTACCTTGTCCTGCGCTCCCGCGATGTCCCTCCTGCAGTGTCCCCGGCACTGTCCTCCGGCCGATGCCGGCATCTGTCTTCTGGGTTCCGTTCCCTGCGACGTCGGGACAGAACTGGAGGGAAATTTGAAAATGACAAAAAGTGACATTCACTAAAAAATCACATAGTATAACATTCCTGTATCAAACCATTTCACATACATGTTGTCCCGAGTGCTTTGTCCGGCGCCCTGCCTGCATTTTTACTGTTCTTTCTGCCTGGAAACTGAGAAACGTCCATGGCGTCCAAAAAGCGTCCCTTTAGGTCAAAAGCGGGTTTAGACCGGCTAGAGAACAGCGATAGTAAATCAGAACCACTTGCAGAATTGAGTGATAATGATTCGTGGGGGAAATTCCTCATCAGACACTGAAAATGATTCTGCGACTTTGCTCAGCGATGTGCGAACTTAGCGCTCTATTTCACATTTCAGTGTTTTTGGTTTGATTATATTATTGAATTAAATTTATTATATTATTATTTTTTATGATTATTTATTAAATTATAATTTATGATATTGTGTTTCAAATGTTATCCTACCCGGGATGTTTACTAGACTCTTGTTCGGACAGATTGCAGTGAGTTATTCCTAAAAATTACAGCCTACAATAAAAAACTACATATTTCCATGCAAAAAAATGTACCGCTTTGAGCACAGAAATATGGACATAATCAGACCGCTAGGGAGGTTAAGAATCAAAACAGGCTTTTGCGTTTTTTGCGGGGGGGTTTTTTTTTGTTTTTAATTAGGGGAGGTGCCCCTTACATTGGTGATCAGTGGGAAGAATGCCCCTTACAATGGTGGTCAGTGGGAAAAATGCCAATTACATTGGTGGTCAGTGGGAAGAATGCTCCTTACATTGGTGATCAGTGGGAAGAATGCTCCTTACGTTGGGGGTCAGTGGGAAGAATGTCCCTTATATTGGTGATCAGTGGGAAGAATGTCCCTTACATTGGTGATCAGTGGGAAGAATGTCCCTTACATTGGTGGTCAGTGGGAAGAATGTCCCTTACATTGGTGATCAGTGGGAAGAATGTCCCTTACATTGGTGGTCAGTGGGAAGAATGTCCCTTACATTGGTGATCAGTGGGAAGAATGTCCCTTACATTGGTGATCAGTGAGAAGAATGCTCCTTACATTGGTGATCAGTAAGAAGAATGCTCCTTACATTGGTGGTCAGTGGGAAGAATGCCCCTTACATTGGTGGTCAGTGGGAAGAATGCTCCTTACATTGGTGGTCAGTGGGAAGAATGCCCCTTACATTGGTGGTCAGTGGGAAGAATGCTCCTTACATTGGGGATCAGTGAGAAGAATGCTCCTTACATTGGTGATCAGTGAGAAGAATGCTCCTTACATTGGTGATCAGTGGGAAGAATGCTCCTTACATTGGTGGTCAGTGAGAAGAATGCTCCTTACATTGGTGATCAGTGGGAAGAATGCTCCTTACATTGGTGATCAGTGGGAAGAATGCTCCTTACATTGGTGATCAGTGAGAAGAATGCTCCTTACATTGGTGATTAGTGGGAAGAATGCTCCCTACATTGGTGATCATTTGGAAGATTACCCCATTTACAGATAGCTAAAAAGACCATTGTTGTCATTGGTAACTTACCTGAGAGGCAGAAATTGCTTTTTGCTCAAGGAACCCCTAGCAAAATCTGGAGGAACCTTAGGGCTCCATGGAACCCTGGCTGAGAAAGGCTGATGGAGACATGACACTTTAGAAGACAACTACAATGCTCCAAGGTGGGAAGGAATGGAATTATGGCAGAGGGCAGAGAGATCCTGCTGTTGGAGTAATCAAGGCATGTAAGAAGGCAGGGGCTGGTTCCATATATAACTAAACTCTCAATTTTGGGTGAACTGACCCGTGAAGAATAAACACTCTAGACCTTGCCGCAGCTCACAGCCAAAGCAACATGACCTGACATTACACTAGTGAGTCAAACCCTGATGGAAGTTCTTTTTTAATAATGTATGCAAAACTTTTGCACATGGGATGAATTTTTGTCTTTTTTCCCCTTTGAGCCGCCGCGTTGAGTGCGTCACTTTGGAACCTCTCATCCTCCCCCTGACGTTAATGGTCTTTTTGGCTGTGCATGGCGCTGTTCTGGATGAAAAGAAGGGAATCAGGTAAAGGAAACTGAATCCAGAGCGTGGAATTGCACAGATGGTTTGTGTTTTATCTGATCAAGGTGATTTTTGTTTGGATGGGAAGCATTCTGTGATTTCCTTCCTGTCACTCCCTTGATAATCTGCTTCTAGACAGGACGTGTTTCCACATACAGTACATACCCTTCAGCCAACCAATCTGACTTCAGCGCAAAACTTTTCAGAGTACACAGCAAAATGAAACAGGTACATGCTTTATTTACAGGGCAGCTTCAACCAAGCAGGTGTATAGATGAAACCAGGGGCGGACTGACAACTCATGGGGCCCCCGGGCAATAGGGGATCATGGGGCCACTGTGTCCTTGCCCAAACTCAAAAAAGTCTATGAAAAAGGTACCAGGGGCATCTCATGGGGCCCCCTACTGACCCCGGGCCCTTGGGCAGTGCCTGAGTTTCCAAATGGTCAGTCCGCCCCTGGATGAAACATATCTATGGGAAGTACTGTACCTGCCAGAAGATGTATCCAATAGCTCAAAGAGTGGATCCAGAAATTTGGATGATGATAGATTTAGACCAAATTTGAAGCCAACCTCCAGCTTTCCCTTCAGTCTTGCACAATTGTACCGGCTCCTCTCCTGGACTGAAAATGCTTGCTCTGATTTCACCGCACACTGAACAATATGCATTAGAACCTGCAGCAAGTCAGAGAGAATGCGCCCAGGGGCGGACTGACAACTCATGGGGCCCCCGGGCAATAGGGGATCATGGGGCCCCTGTGTCCTTGCCCAAACTCAAAAAAGCCTATGAAAAAGGTACCAGGGGCATCTCATGGGGCCCCCTACTGACCCCAGGCCCTCGGGCAGTGCCCGAGTTTCCAAATGGTCAGTCCGCCCCTGAACACGCCTCATTTTTTTAGCTGTGGAACATCCAGTATTATTTAGCTCTTTCCACCCCAGCCTGGCTACCCCTGGCCCACCCCATTTCATTCTTTGGATTTCAGTTATGGAGACTCAGCATCATAACACCTGTCTAGTGTGGGAACCCTGCCCTAAGCTGTGGTGTCCGTAGCCTATGTTTAATGCTGCTGAGCTGTAGTCACCCTGAGCATGGATTGTAAGGCCTCATGCACACTGGGCATTTCAAAAATGCAGGTGGCGTTAACTATATAAAGTCACAATAAAAATGTGAGTTTTTCTGCATTTTTTTTTTTGACTTTTTGCATTAGCGGTTATCTGCGTTTTGCTGCACTGGTGATTTTTTGTGGGTTTTTTTTTACACACAAAAAAAAGGTTGGCTCAAAAAACACTCAAAAACGCCAGTTTGCAGCGTTTTACCGCGCTTACTGGCGTTAGAGCATTTTTACAGCTAAAAAACTCCTCTAGAAACCCACTAGTTCTGGGTTTATTTTCCAGCCTAAAAACGCCCCTGTCAAAAAACGCTGATTAAAGCCTATATGTGCATGGAAACATAGGATAACATATTGGGGGGGTTTACTGGCTGTAGACACAAAGGCCAAAAGCCAAAAACAGACGCTGTAAAAATGTCCCGTGTGCATGAGGACTTATAGTTCTGCTTTTGTTAGGTTTCTCCTAAGCTCAGTTTTATTGCTTGCTTCTGCATGCTGCTGGAGAGTTTCCCTGGGAATAGTGTGAGAAGATACAATAATTCTGAGTTAGTAATATGTGTGTCTGCATGGCCAGCTACCAGGAGGTCTATTGCCAGTGGTGCACACTGTGGTAGGATAGATGTATTTGGGGGACTTTGCAGGAGCTCTCTTGCCTCCTGGACTGACGCCAGTGGAAGGGATGTGCATTTGATATGAGTACCTCCAAGGCTTGCTGCCTGGGGAGGAACTTTGCCAGAGATGAGGCCTTGTTTAAAGGTTTAGAAATTCTGAACTACCTGAATTGGAGCATCAAGGGTGACACTTAGCTGCTGAAGAGTGTTGGGTAGAAGTTACTGCTGCTGGGCATTACAGGAAATTCTGGTGGCTCATCCAGGGGGGTAAGTGTACTGCCTAAAAGCTGCTATACAGAATGAAAGAACCTTGCTCAAACGTTTTCCCCACAGGGACCCTAAAACAATTTTTACGTATGTCTCAAGGAAACCTAACTAAAACCAGTTAAATGCAGAACATATCACTTACATTGGTGATCAGTGGGAAGAATGTCACTTACATTGGTGGTCAGTGGGAAGAATGTCCCTTACATTGGTGGTCAGTGAGAAGAATGTCCCTTACATTGGTGGTCAGTGGGAAGAATGCTCCTTACATTGGTGATCAGTGGGAAGAATGCTTCTTACATTGGTGATCAGTGGGAAGAATGTCCCTTACATTGGTGGTCAGTGAGAAGAATGTCCCTTACATTGGTGGTCAGTGGGAAGAATGTCCCTTACATTGGTGGTCAGTGAGAAGAATGTCCCTCACATTGGTGGTCAGTGGGAAGAATGCTCCTTACATTGGTGGTCAGTGGGAAGAATGTCCCTTACATTGGTGGTCAGTGGGAAGAATGCCCCTTACATTGGTGATCAGTGGGAAGAATGCTTCTTACATTGGTGGTCAGTGGGAAGAATGTCCCATACATTGGTGGTCAGTGGGAAGAATGCTCCTTACATTGGTGATCAGTGGGAAGAATGCTTCTTACATTGGTGGTCAGTGGGAAGAATGCCCCTTACATTGGTGGTCAGTGGGAAGAATGCCCCTTACATTAGTGATCAGTGGGAAGAATGCCCCTTACATTAGTGATCAGTGGGAAGAATGCTCCTTACATTGGTGGTCAATGGGAAGAAAGCCTCATATATACCTCTTACATACAGCTAAAAAATCATGTCATGCCACTGGCTTTGCCAAACAGTGTTGCCCATGGAACTATGCAGGCACCATCAGATGGGAGATTGATCAGCCACAGCTCAAGTAACCCCCAGCAACCTCTGGGGAACCCGGAATGAGAATGGCTGGTCTGAAGAGTCCAGAGTAAAGATTTAGGGTTAAAGCCCCTTTCTTCTTTATTCACTTTAAGTAGATCCAAGATTATGCATTGTTGGCTGCTTCTCCAATATCCTGTGCCCTAACCCCTCTCCCCTTGAGTTAATGGTGCCCAATAAACACTAGGAAGGCCCACTACCTCAGACTGACAATCACCTTTACCCATTTTTGCATAACAGCAATGACAATATATACAGTGCTGTACATTCATATCAGTCCCTGCCCTCAAGAATCTTACAAATCCCTATCTCATCCTAATCTTGGATAGTCCCTATCTCACATACCAAGACTAATTTTTAGACAGGAGCCAATGGATCTACCAGCATGTCTTTGGAGTATAGAAAGAAGCCCACACAAGCGCAGGGAGAATATGCAAACTCCATGTACAAATTGTTCTGGCCAAGAGTCAAGCTGATGACCCCAATAATGTAAGGCAGAAGTGCTAACTATTGAGCATAGTGAGCCTGCCACAAAGACCCACGCATATTGCATGGTGAATTGTTGGTACTCTCAGAAAACCGGGGGTGAGCAATGATGTGCACCCGACTCTAGAGAAAAATGTGTTCTTCCATCTGTGGAATTCCTTTAGAACATTCTTCTTCAACCTCTGCACAGCATAGATGAACCCTTGAAATACCTTTCTGGTCTCAGGGAACCCCTGCTAAAAATGAGTATATCTACAACTATTGATACAGTAGTGTGATGGTCAGAGGGAAGAATGCTCCTCACCAAGGGTGGACTGACCATTTGGAAACTCGGGCACTGCCCGAGGGCCCGGGGTCAGTAGGGGGCCCCATGAGATGCCCCTGGTACCTTTTTCATAGGCTTTTTTGAGTTTGGGCAAGGACACAGCGGCCCCATGATCCCTTATTGCCCGGGGGCCCCATGAGTTGTCAGTCTGCCCCTGCTCCTCACACTTGTGGTAATTCCTACTCTCTAGCTCCCTGGTCTCCTCCTCCCACGCCCGATTGCAGGACTTCTCCAGGACTTCCCCCATCCTCTGGAACTCCCTACCCCAATCCATCAGACTGTCACCTACCCTCCTCACCTTCAGTCTTACCCTGAAAACCCTCCTCTTCAGGGAAGCCTACCCCAACCTCACCTAACACCTGACCTCACCTAACAACTAACCTCCTCCACTCCTCCCACCACTCCATCCCCCACAGCCATTTCCTCCTGTACTACCTTCCCCTCCCTCCTAGATTGTAAGCTCGAAAGAGCAGGGCCCTCAAACCCCTCATGTATTGTATAGTTACTGTCTTGTCTCATGTTCTGTCCCCCTTGCTACTGTACAGCGCTGAGCATACCCTTTGGCGCTATATAAATACTGTATAATAATAATAATTGAGAAGAATTCCCCCTTAAAGATAGCTTAATAGATCAATGGTGTCAGTGGGAACTTATCTGAGAGGCAGAAATTGCTTAAGGAACCCCCAGCAACCTCTGGAGGAACCCTATGATTCCATGGAAGTCTGGTTGAGAAACTCTGCTCCAGAAGCTGGTTGTAGTAAGCACCCCTAAGTGATCTTCACTAGCTTCTGTGTCCCGTCCTGAGGGGCTGTCCTGCTGAATTCTGAATGTAATTGTGTAAAAATATCCTAACCTGGAACTCTTCTTTAAAAGCCATACTAAGTGCAAATATTATTCTGAGATTTGTATCTCAGGCATTAAAAGGTATTATAAGGCATTAAAATGATGTTTCTGATGCAAATAGTTTTTTTCTAATAAGACACTACAACAACAAATTAAATTACATTTTAAAATTTACCAATATACGTAAAAATAAGAACAGCAAAAACAAAATTAAGAGCAGGTTCTACAGATGCACTGGGAGAGCAGCTCCTCCAGCGTAAAAAGAGGAGCCCTGCTGTCACTTTACCAGGTTGTCTACTGCGCTCTGTGTCACGTGACTCTGTGCAGTACTTGTTCTAACAGTGAAAACTGGTGATCCAGGCCTGCTATGTTGTTGCTGCCCCTTGTTGTGACATCACTATTCTGCTACTGGGGTCTTCAGGACCCTGTGAAGATCTGGCCAATGGACAAAATGGTAAGTGTCAACACCTACAGGCATAGACATGGCCCCCCCATCAACCAATCTTGTTGCTGTCTGTTGTTGAGATTTCACTTTGCTGCTGTTGGAGTCTTGAGAACCCTGTGAAGATCTCACCAATGGACCCAGTGGGAAGTGTCCATATTTATAGACATTAACATCAATCATCCAAACTTGTTGTTGTCCCTTGTTTTGACACCACTTTTCTGCTGTTTGAGTCTTGAGGACTTGAGTCTTGTATATCTTACTAATGAACTCAATGGGAAGTGTCCACAGCTACAGGTACTGACATGGGCCCAATGTCAACCAGTTTTGTGGTCGCCCCTTGTCATAACATCACTTTGCTGCTGCTGGAGTCTTGAGGACCTTGTGAAGATCTGGCCAATGGACCCAATGGGAAGTGTCCACATTTACAGGTATCAACATGTGCTTGCCATCAACCAGTCTTTTCACCATCCTTTGTTGTGATGCCACTTTATTGTTGTTGGAGTTTTGAAGACCCAGTGAAGTTCTCTCAGGAATTCAGTCCCAGTCATTGGGTCTGGACTTGCTGTTTAGCTAATGTGTGTGCACATGGGTATAAGCATAGAAGACAGATTGCTCATTTGCCCGCATGTATGAGCAAACGCGCATGCACGTGTGTGCACACTGCTGACAGGTGTCCTATTTAAACCAGAATCCTGCACTGGGCCTGTGCTGTATGGTCTTCAGCCCTCTCTGTGATCCACTCTCAATGTGCATCCGTCACCCTGTTACTGACCCAGCTTCTGTTCTGACCTTGCTCCTTGCTTATACTTACCTGCTTATTCTGCTACCTGGCACTGCTGTTGACCCCAGCCTGGACTATTGACCAAGCTTCTGCCTAATGATGCTTTACCTTGCTGTCAGATTGTTGACATCTTCTGTTGGTTCCTGATTCTGATTCTGTGCACGTCCTGGTGTATGCAATCCACTGAACATGGTGCACCTCAGGACATTATCAGCTGAATTTCGGTTCATCAGATACCAATGCTTTCAAGTACCTGCTCACAGCGGCTACACCCTTGCACTTGTGCCTTTCTTTTGTCCCTGTCTCACTATCCAGGGGTGCTTGGAACTGTGCAAGAGGCCACCCTTGTCATCTCAGGCTCTGCATACAGGTACATGAGACCGAATAGGAAGTATCCATATCAACAGACATTGACATCAACAAGATCTAGTCAACAGATCCAATGGGATGCGTTTATGGCTACAAGCATTGACATGGGCCCAATATCAACCAGTCTTGTTGGCATTCCCTGTTTTGACATCACTTTGCTGCTGTTGAAGTCTTGAGGACCTTGTGAAGAACCCACCTATGGACCCAATGGGAAGTGTCCACGTCAACGGACATCAGCTTGAGAAGATTCAGCCAATGGACCAAAACGTCCATGTCTACAGGCATTAACATGGGCCCACCATATGCCAGTCTTTTCACTGCCCCTTGTCATGACATCACTCTTCTGCTGTTGGGGTCCTGAGGACCCTGTACAGATCTTTCCAGTGGATCCAAAGGATTATCCATGTAAGCAGGCTTCAACTTCAAGAAAGGTCTTCCCGCTTCACAACAAAGAAGCAAGAAGACTCAGAAGCCGAGAGCCAACGTGTGACATGACAGCAGATTTAGGTGTTTGGGGCAATTAGCTAGATGGGAGTGGGAAGTATTTTTGGGTGAAGGCCTTCAGTGACCAGACCTAAGTTTTATATTTCCTAATCATTTACAGAGTCTGATTTCCCTTAATGTTTGCTAAATGTATCTATTTAAATTGTGTTCATATTTATGTTGCAATTTCAGCATACTGTGCATACTTGGCATTGCGCATGGTGAAACATCTCTATTTATATGTACTGTATAGCATGATTAAACCTTCCTCAGCGCTGTCAGACATAGAGAGAGAAGTACATCCGTCAGGCTGAAATTCCATAGACTTCATTTGCCTTTAATGTAAACACGATTAATTTTGAATAGGATGATAGGAAGACTCTTGAAAATTCCTCAAGGTTCTCCACCCGGAGACCAGCTGGCTGGCCATGCCAAAGACCAAACGGATTCTTAATCACGCAGTTTGGGATGTCCACAGATAGACAGGTGGTTGATAATAAGGGTGGAGTGCAGCATGGGGAAGAATGTTCCATCACTTAGGATTTCATCACACGTTCTGGAAGATGTGAACTCGCGTGATACAGGACAAGCAATCAAGGGTGC